TGCATGGCGTCCTAGCTCAGGAACACGACTGCTGGAGTGGATGAATGACTCGCCTTCGTATTGGACTACATACTGCGTATGTGCGGTGATCGTGCTCGTCAGGTCGTCGGACTAGAGCAGAATTGGATTGCAGGTCTATTGGGATTTGGTGCATGGAAGGGCGAAGATTGTCGACAATCATGTCCGCTTGACGTCCTGGCTCGGGCGCATGACTGTTGGAGTGGATGACTCTGGGTTCATCTCGAATATCAAGGTCTGTTTGTACCTCGCGTTCCTCAAACGAGCGCATGTCCTGTGGAGCGACGTGTGTGAGGTCAACTTTGATATCAACGGCTAGTCCATGCTGCGGTTCGTCTTTCGGTCCAGAATCTGATGGATGGTCTTGCTTCTCCACATCAGTCGGTGCACCACATTGTACACGCGAGCCGTTCCTGGACGAAGTCAGCGCATGAAGGTGTTCCGGCTGTCCAATCGAGAACACAAAATCTTGGCCATACTCGACGGAGCATTCAGAACCCTGGCAGGTTGTGTAGAGTGCGTGGCCAACTACACTGAAGAATCGTGCCATGCTACCACGGTCGACCAATAAGTCCTGGCACTTGGCCATCATCTCCGCCATCCCATAAATCTCGAGGAACTCCGCATGACTTCGTGCTGTGATGAGTACACCATTCGTTACCAGATCGTCCAAAGACTCGGTATGATCAAATCCTTGGATTTCTCGAAGCCGCATCGCAATATGGCTGGGCAACCATCTTCCAAACCCACCAACGAGCATCTGGCGCGCATGCCGACCAAGGGTACGCAGAGCCAACATTCGGCAATCCTCGTCGAAAGGGTGTGGGAATGGTGGAAATGGATTTGATGGCTGGAGGAGCAGGATCTGCGTCACATAACACACATCCGGCTATGGGAGACACGTACTGCATCTGCGCCAACTGATTCAGCCACCATCGGAGCGGTAGCATGTCCGGAATGTGTCGAACCGATAGGTTCAGTACCCGCTTCTGGGTCCACTGGAGCATTGGGAGCATCAAGAGAGGCGTCGACTGCGTGAAGCAAGTGCTGGAGATCTTCGCCACCACCGCAACCCTGCAATGCCCCACAGCAATCATGCTCCTTGCATTCCTTATTGTGATATGCACGCCAATCAACTATGTTGCAAATCAGTTCTAATTATATTGATATTTCTGAGATAGCGAGACACGCACGAAACACAAGTATATCAGAACATGTCCCGTTCCGTAGGCGTTCAAAGGTCACCCCATGAGTTTCTTCCAGGGCCTCACGATACTCAGCGTGAAAGCCACCGCTTGTATGATCCAACCAGAGATAATAATCGAGAGCTGGAGATCTGAAGTCGCCGTGTAATGGATCTTTGGATTGTGCAGCATCCTCCATGAATGCAATCCGCACATCGTTCATGTAGGCCATGATCGACAGATACATGTCGCGCATGTGAGCAGCTTTGTGATGGGATGAAGCATCGAGGTGGGCCACGATCTTCCTATAGAGACCAAATCTCTTGTTCAGCGCATGGAGGGGAATACGATAGTGCGCAGCAACGTTGGAACCCTTGCGAGACTGTCCGTACACCTTGAAGGAACACTCTCCCTCGACATCTTGAATGATCCCTTTGGATTTCATCAATCGACTGATATCCTCCGGACTCCATTGACGGAGCTGACACAATGGATTCATGGGAAGGAATGATATGCCGCGCCTGTTGCAGGCGTCAGTTACTCCTGAGTAGTTTTATCTCCGGGGCCACGAGCTTGGAATTCGGTTCCTCGTGGTCATGTGAAGTCAGAAATTAAACACTATGATCCGATCGGTGCTAATCAAATCTAATTCTAATTCATTAGGACATTAGGGTGGGTTAGTAGACCATCGCATACTGGAGTCCCATAGATTCAGAACTGCTGCCGCATGCAATACAACTCAATTTCAAGGCAAGCATGGCTGCCTTTGTCGTTGGCTTGCGGATTTTCTGATACATCGACATTCCCTGGTTGGTCTGCAGCCCACGTCGCCGCCGAGCTCATGACCACATCGTGGCAGTACACATGGGTGCCTTCATTTCCACTCTGATGGGCCGCCTCAATGCCATCCATTTTTCATCAACACGACTTTATTTCAAACCTTAGGACCCTAGCATGAAGCACAGCATGCAAACCCGTGAATGTTACCCGCTTCCGTTAGTCCACCCCCTGCCTACGAAGTGCACGATTTCATAGATCAGGGTACCGTCGGGGGCGACGATCCAAACCAACCTAACTAACCTAATGCCATCCAATTTTCATCAACACGATTTTATTTCAAACCTTGGGACCCTGGCATGAAGCACATGATGCAAACCCGTGAATGTCACCCGCTTCCGTTAGTCCACCCCCTGCCTATGAAGAGCACGATTTCATAGGCAGGGGGTGGACTAACGGAAGCGGGTGACATTCACGGGTTTGCATCATGTGCTTCATGCCAGGGTCCCAAGGTTTGAAATAAAATCGTGTTGATGAAAATTGGATGGCATTAGGTTAGTTAGGTTGGTTTGGATCGTCGCCCCCGACGGTACCCTGATCTATGAAATCGTGCACTTCGTAGGCAGGGGGTGGACTAACGGAAGCGGGTAACATTCACGGGTTTGCATGCTGTGCTTCATGCTAGGGTCCTAAGGTTTGAAATAAAGTCGTGTTGATGAAAAATGGATGGCATTGAGGCGGCCCATCAGAGTGGAAATGAAGGCACCCATGTGTACTGCACGATGTGGTCATGAGCTCGGCGGCGACGTGGGCTGCAGACCAACCAGGGAATGTCGATGTATCAGAAAATCCGCAAGCCAACGACAAAGGCAGCCATGCTTGCCTTGAAATTGAGTTGTATTGCATGCGGCAGCAGTTCTGAATCTATGGGACTCCAGTATGCGATGGTCTACTAACCCACCCTAATGTCCTAATGAATTAGAATTAGATTTGATTAGCACCGATCGGATCATAGTGTTTAATTTCTGACTTCACATGACCACGAGGAACCGAATTCCAAGCTCGTGGCCCCGGAGATAAAACTACTCAGGAGTAACTGACGCCTGCAACAGGCGCGGCATATCATTCCTTCCCATGAATCCATTGTGTCAGCTCCGTCAATGGAGTCCGGAGGATATCAGTCGATTGATGAAATCCAAAGGGATCATTCAAGATGTCGAGGGAGAGTGTTCCTTCAAGGTGTACGGACAGTCTCGCAAGGGTTCCAACGTTGCTGCGCACTATCGTATTCCCCTCCATGCGCTGAACAAGAGATTTGGTCTCTATAGGAAGATCGTGGCCCACCTCGATGCTTCATCCCATCACAAAGCTGCTCACATGCGCGACATGTATCTGTCGATCATGGCCTACATGAACGATGTGCGGATTGCATTCATGGAGGATGCTGCACAATCCAAAGATCCATTACACGGCGACTTCAGATCTCCAGCTCTCGATTATTATCTCTGGTTGGATCATACAAGCGGTGGCTTTCACGCTGAGTATCGTGAGGCCCTGGAAGAAACTCATGGGGTGACCTTTGAACGCCTACGGAACGGGACATGTTCTGATATACTTGTGTTTCGTGCGTGTCTCGCTATCTCAGAAATATCAATATAATTAGAACTGATTTGCAACATAGTTGATTGGCGTGCATATCACAATAAGGAATGCAAGGAGCATGATTGCTGTGGGGCATTGCAGGGTTGCGGTGGTGGCGAAGATCTCCAGCACTTGCTTCACGCAGTCGACGCCTCTCTTGATGATCCCAATGCTCCAGTGGACCCAGAAGCGGGTACTGAACCTATCGGTTCGACACATTCCGAACATGCTACCGCTCCGATGGTGGCTGAATCAGTTGGCGCAGATGCAGTACGTGTCTCCCATAGCCGGATGTGTGTTATGTGACGCAGATCCTGCTCCTCCAGCCATCAAATCCATTTCCACCATTCCCACAGCCCTTTCGACGAGGATTGCCGAATGTTGGCTCTGCGTACCCTTGGTCGGCATGCGCGCCAGATGCTCGTTGGTGGGTTTGGAAGATGGTTGCCCAGCCATATTGCGATGCGGCTTCGAGAAATCCAAGGATTTGATCATACCGAGTCTTTGGACGATCTGGTAACGAATGGTGTACTCATCACAGCACGAAGTCATGCGGAGTTCCTCGAGATTTATGGGATGGCGGAGATGATGGCCAAGTGCCAGGACTTATTGGTCGACCGTGGTAGCATGGCACGATTCTTCAGTGTAGTTGGCCACGCACTCTACACAACCTGCCAGGGTTCTGAATGCTCCGTCGAGTATGGCCAAGATTTTGTGTTCTCGATTGGACAGCCGGAACACCTTCATGCGCTGACTTCGTCCAGGAACGGCTCGCGTGTACAATGTGGTGCACCGACTGATGTGGAGAAGCAAGACCATCCATCAGATTCTGGACCGAAAGACGAACCGCAGCATGGACTAGCCGTTGATATCAAAGTTGACCTCACACACGTCGCTCCACAGGACATGCGCTCGTTTGAGGAACGCGAGGTACAAACAGACCTTGATATTCGAGATGAACCCAGAGTCATCCACTCCAACAGTCATGCGCCCGAGCCAGGACGTCAAGCGGACATGATTGTCGACAATCTTCGCCCTTCCATGCACCAAATCCCAATAGACCTGCAATCCAATTCTGCTCTAGTCCGACGACCTGACGAGCACGATCACCGCACATACGCAGTATGTAGTCCAATACGAGGCGAGTCATTCATCCACTCCAGCAGTCGTGTTCCTGAGCTAGGACGCCATGCAGACCTTGACTTTGAAGATGTTCATGCATTTGTACACGATGTTCACCCTTCTATGCACCCAGCACCAATGGACCTGCAATCTGATTCTGACGTAGACCTACGACCTGACGAGCACGATCACCGCACAAGCACAGTATGCAGTCCAATACAAGGCGAGTCATTCATCCACTCCAACAGTCATATTCCTGAGCTAGGACGCCATGCAGACCTCGACGTTGAAGATGTTCATGCTTCCGTGCCCGATGTTCACCCCTCTATGAACCCAGTACAAATTGACCTGCAATCTAATTCTAATGTAGACCGACGACCTGAAGAGCACGATCACCGCACATACGCAGTATGTAGTCCAATACAAGGCGAGTCATTCATCCACTCCAGCAGTCGTGTTCCTGAGCTAGGACGCCATGCAGACCTTGACTTTGAAGATGTTCATGCATTTGTGCACGATGTTCACCCGTCTATGCACCAAGCACCAATGGACCTGCAATCTGATTCTGACGTAGACCTACGACCTGACGAGCACGATCACCGCACGAGCACAGTAGGCTGTCCAACACAAGGTGAGTTATTCATCTACTCTAATAGTCATGCTCCTGAGCTATGACGCCATGCAGAGCCCAATATTGACCATGCTGACCCTTCCGTGCACTTAGTTGCAATGGATCTGCAATCTGATGATGATGTAGTCCTACGGTCTGATGAGGTCGATCACCGCACACACACAGTGGGTCGTCCATTACAGCGCCAGTCACTGTTCAGAATGTGATGTAATGGTTCTTAATACAGCACGAAATAGGATTCCGCGAATCACTCGGAACCACAAGTAATATTTGTGCTGATGTTGTCGATGTATGGACCGATTTTAATCTTCATGGCAGTCTAAACATCGTCCACCAGTCGAATCAAATATCCGACGTCGAGCCTTCCAACGAATGCTACGACACCACATATCCAGATGTGGTACAGCAGGGTGTGAATCTATCTACCCCGCCTCCACTTCAATCAAAGCTGCGCACACGAAATACAGGCAGACCACCCTCAATGATGCCTACGACGAGGCGTAGGGAACAGCCTGTCTCCAAGCGTGCGAGGCCCGTGGTGTTTGCTACTAATAGGCCAGCGCACAAGGAGAAATCGATAGCTGTCAGACCAAAGTCCAGAGCGCAGAAATACACCATCCAAGACCTCGTTCGTGAGTCTCAGACAAAGGGGACGAATGTCACGCCTTTCGTAAGTTGTTCATCTATCAATATCAGCATGAGTCTCCTTACAAGTCACCCTGTAGATCGACTCCTTTCTCATGGACCCGCATGGATACAAAGTCGTTGAATCCACCATTCATTCAGATCATGTCGGATGGTTAGCTGTGGCTCGACATATAGCATTGCGCATGCGTGAAGATAGCATGTCTAATGACTTCACGCGATCGGTGGCGTCATTCATGTCCATCGAATTTTGGTTCAATGACATTGCGATGGAGTGCTGCGAGGCACTGAAGAGCCCGGGCTTGGATTTCGTGCTATCACCATTGGTTTGCAAGGAGTTCCTCTGCGATGACAACATGCTAATTAGCTTGTTAATAGGCACATCACGTCCTCGTTGAACTGTCTAGCCGCGCCATAATGGACGAGTCATCCGTGCGAGGTGTATTACAAAGTCTTTGGGTGACTCAATTTAATTTACATCTTGGTTTCACATCGTGCTCATTGATGTATGTATATCACAATTCAGAGTTCCGACAATGGCAAGGGTGCGACAGCAGTGGTTCGATATTTGCTACGCTCCTCTCAGCCTCACGACGAGGATCCATATGCACCCGGACTTCGGATTCTTGCATCAGTGGTCACCGAAGCAATGCGGGAGCGGAAGGTGTAGGTGGTGTTGTTGACAAATGTCTGCCACTCTGCGAATGGCAATTGTGAGCCAACAATTACCGTCATTAGGTCGAGGGCCCTGGGCGGAAGGCGGCAGAAGTTAATGTGAATCTTATTTGTACTACGAACAAATAGCATATGTTTGAGTGTTTGAAAAGTGTGTCTGAGCCTCTGTGCACGCCAGTATGTCCTCACAAAAGTCCATGGATCATCCTACTCGAAAGCCATCACCGACCACTTTGTCCAAGATCCAAAAGTCCACAATTCATCCAACCGTTATTTTTCAAGTGTGCAACTACTGTTAAACATCTATAGAAGTTCGTGGCGACATTCTTGGCTGGAATGCTTATACTACAGCTCCTGATCATGCTCGCGCAGATGTCCATCGCGATCTTACAACAAAGCATTGAAATTCAGCGCTACTACTTCCACATACCACGGATGTAGATTCTGCGTCCTCAAGTTCATCCCTATCCGAGTCAACAGCTAAAAGCTCCAGAGAAACGGAAGAACTTCGTTGGGTTTGTGGATCTTTGGGTCATTCCAGTGCAAGCAACTCATGACATTTCACATTATTTCGGTTACTACAAGTGTCAGTAAACATTGCCTGTGTTCTGACTGTGTAAATATTTCAACCATATCCATCGTTCACGCTAATATACCATTCTTAGTTGCGGAAAACTGGTTTTTCCGTCACTTGATGAAATTCGGTCCTTGTATGAAGCCCAATCACGTTATGTGCTCTCACATTCATTTATGGATAGCAAAGAGGCTCCCGTCCGAATCGAGGACATTTCATGTATCAAGGAATGCAAAAGGCTTACATATCTGTTTGATCGGTGGGAGCATAAAATCAGACAAAGTTTACATCGGTCTCTGGCTGCTGAAGTTAATCAGCCTCCAGTTGTGCTGAACCTTGACGGCATTACCGGGTACCGAGGCTCTGCCGACGAACTGCTTGAACTCTAAGCGAAAGCTTTGGAGACAATGGAGATCAGAAACGGAGGTAACGTAATCACTGCAAGAACTGACAACCACACAGTCATGAAAGCATTCTGACGGAAGTTCCAAGAGACATTTCACTGGTTTCTCATGTGATCTTTCCCTGCTTCTCAGGCTATATTCAAAGTATTCTAACTACATGAGCAGGCTACACTGGCCTCGATACTTCATCGGAGAACTTTGTGCGCACCCAGCAGTCCCATTATTCAATGGGTCTGACTACTGTGGTGCACAGTTGAAAGAACAAGCCAAAGAGGATGGCACCAACCGAGGAGTGAAGAAAGACTGCGAATCTCGGTGATATGCACTGGTTTAAGGCATGGAGGCACGCTGGAACCTTGATGCGCTGTTCACATCAGAGAACACACAAACACACTCAAAACAATTTTGCCGATTTGCGCCAATTGCTGTTCTGCCGTTTTGATTTGGCAGAACTTGCCCAAAAATATTTCTGCCACCTACAGTAGGTGCAGCATTCTATTTTTATACCAACATGTCCGGATCCCACATCAATCAATCCATGAGATTGTGGTATTCTATCACGTAACGTCATTGTGAGGATGTCAAATATGACATCAAATGTTGGTTCAAATGCTGCTAAATATATATCAACCCGGCACAGACGGTTAAGCTATACTATGCTATGAACGATTTCGGTGGAGTCCAGATTCGAGGTCATGGCATGATACCGATATCGCGTTGTTGCTCCGGAGTCAATGGCCACCTGTACCAAACACGTCCATAGTTCTGAGACCGACCGCCATGGATCCAAGTTGGACATGGGATGCCCTTTTGCGTGGTTTTGCATTGAAGGCATGAATATTTGATCTTGGCCTCCACCCAGCGCTTGCCATAATATTGCTTTCCGTGCGGATGAAAGATCATGTTGTATGATGAGGCTTGGCATTCTTTGTTGAAACATCGGAACATGTCAAGGCCCCAAGGCCTCCCGTCCTTGAGGTTCGAGTACGCGAGCACCCTGGTATCGACCACACGTTCTCGCTCATTATTTGGGCCCGTGCGAATGTCTGCGAACGAGAGCATCACCGGTGACTGGTTGAGCGCGTGTCTGTCCTCCCCGAATGATTCCTCCAGCGCATTCCATATCTTCATGTCATATACATACACGTTTTCCACGAACCGGTTCAAAGCAGGCACTACGATGGTGTCCATGGTGTATACGCCAGCAAACGTGAGAACGAAATCGAATATATCCCTGAGGAATGGCAGATTTAAACATGAATACGCTGATGGGATGAATACACGCACCGCTCGACCAAGCACTTCAACAACTCGACGCTTTTGGCGACCCTCCCGGTTGATCCACATGAACTGATGATGAGGCCCCGAACGCACGGGCCAACTCCAGGTTTGGAATTAATAGTGGCGATGGCTTGAGTGGCAGCCTTCAGATTCACGTCTCCGATGTAATTAGACAGAAGCTGCGGTGACTGAGTTGAGTCCTCGACGACGCTGGGCACATATACCACAGCCACCCACCTCATGGATCGGCAGTGACTCAGGATCCGTCGCGCTCCCAGACACAACGAGGTTGCCTGTTTCAGTATCCGAATGCGTGTTGACGAATATCAAGAGGTTCCCCTCGTAATTGGCTTTCGCCAGCCAATCGAAGTGGGGCGTCATGGCATTCGGACGGTTGTTCCCGGATTTGAGAGCCCGCGTTGTTATGTGTAGCTGCAGACATTCAGTGGGCTGATCCTGATACTCTCTGAAGAAAATGCATGACATACCCTAGTTTGATCGACATTGAAGTGCTCCCTGAGCGTCGACTGAATTGTGTTCGAGGCGTAAGGGCTGCCGAATCCACTCCAGGACAAGAAGACGGCAAGAAGCGGGAAATAGTTCCGATGGAGATAGTCCTGTCTGACTGAATATCCATGAACTTTATACTGTTGGATTCGCGTTGTGATCCGGCATCCGATACATACCATCAGTTGTGTACTCACCTTAATCGCTTCGAAAGCTGCACGATGACATTGAGGGCATCTGAACGTCTCCTCCGTGACCGTTGCATTACCTGTAACTGGATTCCAAGCGACATCCACACACCCATGATCTCCCGGACCCTGACTCACGCACACTGGAATTCCACAATCTGGCTCAGTGCATTTCCAGATGTATGATCCGACGTCATGGCAGTATATACAACACTGTCCACAATGTCAGCGATATTTTGGATGAGATTAGAGAGCAACATACGATCGTCGCTTCCTTTGATATGTCTGCCACTTGATTCCATGACTCCGGCTTTCCATCCGGTTGGTCAACTTCCATGGGGTCATCACTAGCAATTGGAGTCAACTTCACGTAAGGGGCATACATGGAATGTGCCTTTGGGGGACGTCGTGTTCGGGTGCTTTTCCTCGTCCCCGCAGCTGCAGGTTGCTGCTGGGTCCTACGGTGGCTCGCGGATGTCGCTGGTCCCTGGGATTTTCCTGCAGTTTTACCTGCAACAGGAGTCGCTTTAGGTGCGGCAGACTTTCCGAAGTGGTTTGGCAGGATTAACATGTTGAATCCAGCAAGATGGTGTTTGAGTCAAGGGTTAGTTATCGATTGCAAGATGAACATTCGATTCTTTTAGATCACGTGAGAAGCACACAAACATTCCTCTTTAAGACTAGGTGGGACAAATATTTGAGCCAGGGTTGACTGAGCACACATCAGACTTACTATTCGACCATGCCATCCCCGACAAAGGCAATCGCGCTGAATATCACAAATCGCGATGAGGTCATGGCCACAGTCCTTCTCGCTCATCATGTGGTGGTGTACGTTGAGGATAATATGACGATGTTGATGGTGGAAGACGACACCAAGGTAAGTCTCGTTTGATGAAACACACGACGCGTGGCACATGTCGCTCTGAAATTTAGGTCAAGGTTCCCGACAAGTGTGTCGATCTCATCAAAGTCGTAGTCCATCAGCTACAGCTGTATCAACGTACCACCAGCGCTCTGATGAAGATTCCTCAATCATCCATCGAGGATTGGCAAATCCAGTTTTACTTAGCTCTCACCGCGTACACCGCTGAAGTCATCACCGCATTCGCTCGTGAGGTGAAGGATGATGCGGTCAAGGCCACAAACTCTAAATGGCGATCTGCATATCTCGACTATCACATTGCCCTGTTGTTACAGAACAGCGCGTTCACCAAGGAACATCAGACAATTGCGGTAAAAAAGATGAAGCGATCATGGATTCACTTCCAAGAGAAGAAGGTTTACAAGCCGATCGAATCACGTGAGGGCTAGATTAACAAATAATTATTGTATGGATACTTATTCTACATACACTCCAGTGACACATCAAGGGCTTCACCAGATCTTGTGCGTCGATGGAGACGATTCGTGCGGGGGTCCCTTTGAGCACAAGCGCTCGATTGATGAGATGATCGAGGACGTGATTACGAAGATAAATGCCAGCAACACCATCAACAAGGATGCCGAGAAGCCTTTTGAAGTGCGTATAACACAACGGCCTCAGGTCAAAGCCACTGCAAAACCTGCTGGTATGTGTCACACATTGTTGCACGTGACACACCTGTATCTGACAGTCGTTGGAGGTGATACATCATCTGTTCAGCGTGGAAAGAAGTCGAACTTATTTGACAAGCGTGGACGTCGCAAGGAAAACGCGAAAGTGGCTGGGACGGGGAAACTTAGGTCGGAGTTGCAGTCAGAAGATGAGGTGAGCGTGGGTCACACCTTGCAACGATTGTGATAACACAGCGCAGGAGAGCAACAGCGAACGCCTTGCCAATGATTTCGAACGACAGGAAGACGCGAAAAAGTCACCTAAGCCTCGCAAGACAATCCATAAATCACCATCCTCGAAAGCCTCCGGGAAGGGAAAAGCTGAGGCACAAATATTGGTGGCGGACTCCGGGGATGAGGCATCAGATGCTTCAAGTGGGATGATGAAGTTAGAGCCATTTACTGGCAACGAGGATTTCTGGTCAATGGGAGTAAGTCATCTTCCTGCGTACGATCCAAATGACCGACCTTCACTCACATGACAGGGGCCGGTGAGTGAAAGTGCACTGAAAGTATGTCTCGACTTCTTCATGCATCCCAGGAAAGTGACGATGATCATTCTGATGATCTGCTCTCTTCATCCACTGACCAGGCTAGAGAGGAGATTTGGGCAAGGGAAGAACGCCCTATCAGATCGCGGATGGTGAGTTGTTCGTTCGCCTGCGATCCGCAAGGCTAACCTTCACTCACACCCACGTCACAGCGGCCAGTGGGTTTTAATGTCCTTCAATTACGGATGCACATTCTCACACAACACAGTTCAAAAGCGGGGGTCATGATGATACCCCGCTCCCTCCTACGCTAGCTGACTGGGACGATTGGCACAAGATTGCATTCGAGCAGGGAACCTCGGAAGTCTTTCTCAAGCTTGCGACCTGGATGCTCCTTCGATTTCGCCAGCTGTCAAAGATAGACATCGACGCTGATGTGAATGGTGTTATCATTCCATCGGACCCACGGACGATGCGATTTCCGGATGGAGATGAGTTTCTTGAAGCCCTAGGCATGGAACGTCTGTATTCTGCGATCGTGCACATGGAAGCACGCCCTGCCTACCTCAGCCACATCTTTCATGCACTGGGGGCGGTAGCCGACGACACAGATATCGGGAGTACTCACCCAGCAATGTCGCCCACCTGCTCGCCACCAGCGGTGAGACGAAGGTAAGCACCACAATGTTCGATTCGCTCTGCTCACTTCCACACAAGCATGATGTTCGACCAACGATTTCCCTGGTTATCCGTGGCGGGCGAAGATGACGAAGTCTCAGATGCATTACAGGCAATGGACATTGATGATGACGACGCGCATGTGGACGTCGGACGGAAAGGGGGTGTAGCGATGTCTGTGAAGCGCAAGCGAACATCATCACATACTTCACCGCTGAAGGTCAGCCACGACGAGTACTCTTCTTCTTTTGACATTGACATCTCACAGACGGAGAGCGGTCGACGGCCTTCCAAACGTCCAAAGGACGATATACCCGATCAGGTGCACGATGCACACGCCGACAGTGTTGCGCTCAACGCATCCGATGACGTTGATCGCACCTCCACAGAAGCCGCAACCGCGAATCCTTCATTGCCGCAGGAATCCGTTTCATCCGGGGGCGCAATTCCAAGTCAACAGCTTCAGGACGAAACATCTGAAGATCACGAGGCATCAGTTGATGCTGTAGTCTCTGAACCAGTGGCGATGATGACGATGCAAGACATCACCCCATCGGAGACGACAATCGATAACTCAGATGTGAGTCATCCGAACTTGTCAGCGACGCATGTCAACGATTAGATAGGCCTGGCTGACCAATATGACTCGCGCCCGTGCTTGATTTACTTATCTGCGTCCATCCGGCTTTCTTTTGCTTACGTATCACGTCAATGATTACCTATTTGTGTGATGATGATGTGATATCGATACTCAATGAGATAAGGAACCAAGCCTGATGGCAAGCTTCGATGACATATTCGTTGTGCCATCGTTGCTTGTTGCACTGGCACGCCTGATGCGGAATACACGTGTGATTGACTGAATCTACGTCAAATACTCGATGCGGCGAATCAGATCATTATCATCAAGATCAACGAACACATTACATTCCCCTCGGGATTTACCGTACGCCAGTGCAGCACGTGGTTGTACTAAATGGTCCCATCACCATAATGCCATCCGCCCAATGGACGTCAATTTCCACTATGACACTGAATGCTGACCTTGATCTAACTTCGGGCGTGTTGGGCAACCAAGTCCCGGATACGAGCCCAACGATCACTTGGAACGATGATCATATCACTGTGCTCCCAGCGGTGTACAACGAGTTCGACGAGAATGTCTGCGAAGCGGTCGACATCCCAATCATACAGTTCATGGCCCAGTTCCCTATATCTGCCTTGGACTCCAGGAATGTCGTACATATACCATATCATGGAGTGTCGCGAGAAACTCTCTTACAGGTCGTCGGAAACTACCTGAGCTATAACAAACCCATCGTCATCAGAGGGGTTGAGCGCCACGAACACTACGAGGAGCTTACGGCAGACTACCTCGATAGGAATTTTGCGATTTCACCGCATCGCCCGGTGTGCATTCATGGTAATGGCTGACTCTTTCCCGGGGCGTGGACAGATCATTGACCAAGCGCATAGACGTGATGTTGCGTTCGATGGACCATGTGAACACTACGACCACCGGCACGATAGATTCGTTCTTCGAATCCATGACGGATTCAACGAGGATACAATGTATCCTTGATTTACCACTTGCACAAACATCGCTTCCAGAGCCTCTCAGGTATGCCCTGCATGCTTGTGTCTCAGCACCGCGTGTGGTGAAACATCATCCAGGAACATCGACCATGGACTCGTCTATGGGTGGAACCAGACCACACATTCTGTTCCGATGCAGTCCGACGTTCATCCTGAGAACTTCACTGTCAAGGGATGGGCACTACTTCACCACGCCGGATTTCTGACATACCCCCATCACGACGCTGAGGGGACGTTGACGTGGGTGAGGATGGAGGTCGGAGTGAAATTCTGGGTGATTTTCAGGCCCAAGTATCACCATCGCAATCGACTTCATCTTCAGCAGTTCGCTACGAAACTTGTCGATTTCACATCCCACAAGAAATGGCTGGAGAAGCACTGCGACGGGGAAGTCATAGTTCTTCGGCCAGGTGACATGTTGTAAGGTAATCGTCAATTCACGTCGATGCATCTTACCCCCGAGTCCCGTAGGATTATGCCTCCTGGAACGATTCATGCGGTGTATACTCCGGTTGCATCATTCGCTACAGGAGGACACTTCTATCATTATATGTGCCTGCACCTAACCGAACTCGCGCGATATATCGACGCTGAGGTTGCTGATTCGACCACCAATCAAGCTCTTGAGCATGCCGTGGAAACCCTTCGTCGGATGATGATCATGGTTCCGTATCTTTCACGACGTATATGTAAGCAGCCATCATGATGACACCGACACGGATATTCAGACATGACTAGTGCTGTACAAGAGATCGTTGCTTGGCCTTTGCATCATGGTGACTAAGACAGCGGAATATCGTGCCAAGGGTAGCCGCAAACATTCTATCGCAACGTCGGAAACTTCACAGCCAAGCAAAGATATTTCAGAAGTGATCATGGAGTCGTATTTTGGGTTGTCGAGAAAGCTGCGCCCAGGCACTGTCATGTACATGGGCGATCAGTTGATGCCAGGAGAGCGAGTGGATCGAGATGATCTCGACAGGGTATTGAGAAGATCGTTGAGGTTGTAGCCTGTGCAAGGCAGGCGATGGGGTATTCATTGACGATGTATATCCTCGGAACTCGTACATGGCTGAGCAGGGGGATGGAGGATACTACCAAGGACCAGGAACGATGTCTATTCAGAATACAAGTAGATCCGATTTCTCTTAAATGCAGACAGACAGTGGATTTGCGGATCGTTACGACCTTATTTGATCCGCATCGGTTTAGACGCTCAGGTAACAAAGCCATCCGCGAAAATCCTTACAATTCAAAGGCGGTTTTGTTTCTCAAACAAGCACCTTTATCGATCCATTTATAGCCTCCAAACGTATACTATTCCGGTCGGTTCTAAATCTCGTTTCCTCGGCGAGTGTTCTCGAAGCCAATGATATTCGAACTCCGATGGCAATGCCCGGATGCTGGCGTGGCGTGAGACCATCATGTGATGTGAAGTTGAAATATTGCTCTGAGTTCAAAATTACTCCTTGTTCTTTCCCTTCATCATGGGTTGCGCGCCTTATGGGCGTTTCACCGTCGCTGACGGTGGCTCACTTTTTTTTTCTTCTTCTTCTTCTTAACACACGGTTTCTTGTCGGTTTCGCGCTTTCATGAGCGTTTCATCGACGCTGTCGGTGGCCTTCGAGTTCAGTGTTTGTTTGCTCTCTGTCGTTGGTTTCGCGCTTTCATGAGCGTTACATTGACGCTGTCAGTGGCCTTCGCTTGTCTCCGTCTGTACTTGTCCTTTGGTGTTTTTATTCCGACTTCCTCCTGTACGGGTTGCCTCTCATGTTGTCCGCTTCACTCTCGATAATCGCTCTCTCGTTGGTTTCGCGCTTTCATGAGCGTTTCATCGACGCTGTCGGTGGCCTTCGAGTGCGAGGTTCGTTTGTCGTTTGCCTCTCATGTTCTCTGCTTCACACTCGATAATCGTGTTCTCGTTGGTTTCGCGCTTTCATGAGCGTTTCATCGACGCTGTCGGTGGCCTTCGCGTGCGATGTTCGTTTGTCCTTTGCCTCTCATGTTCTCTTCTTCACACTCGATAATCGTTCTCTCGTTGGTTTCGCGCTTTCATGAGCGTTTCATCGACGCTGTCGGTGGCCTTCGAGTGCGAGGTTCGTTTGTCGTTTGCCTCTCATGTTCTCTGCTTCACACTCGATAATCGTTCTCTCGTTGGTTTCGCGCTTTCATGAGCGTTTCATCGACGCTGTCGGTGGCCTTCGCGTGCGATGTTCGTTTGTCGTTTGCCTCTCATGTTCTCTGCTTCACACTCGATAATCGTTCTCTCGTTGGTTTCGCGCTTTCATGAGCGTTTCATCGACGCTGTCGGTGGCCTTCGCGTGCGATGTTCGTTTGTCGTTTGCCTCTCATGTTCTCTGCTTCACACTCGATAATCGTTCTCTCGTTGGTTTCGCGCTTTCATGAGCGTTTCATCGACGCTGTCGGTGGCCTTCGCGTGCGATGTTCGTTTGTCCTTTGCCTCTCATGTTCTCTTCTTCACACTCGATAATCGTTCTCTCGTTGGTTTCGCGCTTTCATGAGCGTTTCATCGGCGCTGTCGGTGGCCTTCGCGTGCGATGTTCGTTTGTCGTTTGCCTCTCATGTTCTCTTCTTCACTCTCGATAATCGCTCTCTCGTTGGTTTCGCGCTTTCATGAGCGTTTCATCGGCGCTGTCGGTGGCCTTCGAGTGCGAGGTTCGTTTGTCGTTTGCCTCTCATGTTCTCTTCTTCACTCTCGATAATCGCTCTCTCGTTGGTTTCGCGCTTTCATGAGCGTTTCATCGACGCTGTCGGTGGCCTTCGAGTGCGAGGTTCGTTTGTCCTTTGTCGTCGGTTTCGCGCTTTCATGAGCGTTTCACCGACACTGTCGGTGGCCTTCGAGTTTGATGTTCGGTCGTTCTCTTTCGTTGGCTTTGCGCTTTTATGAGCGTTACATTGACGCTGTCAGTGGCCTTCGGAAGTCTTCGTCTGTTCTTGTGCTTTGCCGTTGTACGAGGTCAAGAATCGTTCTCTCTCTCGTTGGTTTGACGCTTTCATGAGCGTTTCATCGACGCTGTCGGTGGCCTTCGAGTTTGATGTTCGTTCGTCCTCTTTCGTTGGTTTCGCGCTTTCATGAGCGTTTCACCGACGCTGTCGGTGGCCTTCGAGTGCCATGTTCGTTTGTTCTCTTTCGTTGGTTTCGCGCTTTCATGAGCGCGTTTCATCGACGCTGTCGGCGGCCTTCGCATGTCTCCGTCTGTTCTTGTGCTTTGGCGTTTGTATTCTGACTTGCTCCTGCACGATGTCAATAATAGTTCTCTCGTTGGTTTCACGCTTTCATGAGCGTTTCATCGACGCTGTCGGTGGCCTTCGCTTGTCCCCGTCTATTATTGTGCTGTCGCATTGGTATGTGGATAAATGCCTCATGCCAGGTCTCTCGCTATGATGTCCGTGGTGCTAGACTTTGGAGGGTGATGTGTTATGATAGCTGTAGATAGCAAATGTTAGGTAGCTCAGTGTGAAGCAACATCGTGTCACGTTCTTTACATGTGTTGGATGACGTCCTGTCTGTCCTAACACACATTGATCCTAATGTTTCCATTGATATCCTTGGACCCCCCCTCAACCTTGCCCCCCCCCCTCCCCCCCCCCCCCCTTCCCTGTGTTGTCCACGTCGCGTTGCGATTCTGCCGACACTGCCTACAAACCATCCGCATTCAAATCTATCTCAGATTCAACGTCGAAGTCAGCATTTGTCACGATGGCTGCCACATAACTCGTGTGGACATGATCCAACTAAGTACTGGACTCGTCGTCATCCATGTCTTCGCCGCCTTCGATGCTTTCGGTTGATAGCAGGCTGTCCTTCCCATCGTGGTGTCGTTTACCTTCTTTCGCTTTGGATCCGAATACTTCAGCGTCAAGGTCGTGAAAATTGACGGTGGGACCCTCTGGATGTTTGGACTGCTTGTGTGAGGAATGAGCTGAATGATTTGGTTCAGAGATGGGTGCATCAGTTGGAACCTCAGACAAGGCTTCACGGAATCGACAGTTAAGATCGCACGAATCTGAACAGCCTTTTCTGGCGAGAATGGGTTGTTGTCGCCGAAGATTTATTTAGCATAGCTCCAATCGCAAGGTAATACAAACCAATATCTGACAATTCAGTCTGCGATCACTGGAGACAAACAAAAAGCAATTGACTTTGCACTTGGTACGAGGATGAGTGTGTGAAGCGAGTGATTTGAGGCTCAAAGTCCAAGGAAGGAGGGGAGCTGCTCATGAGAAGGCCAATGATTCCCGAGAACTTCACTTGACGAGCCTCAACAATCGGGCGGAGTGCTCCCCCATTCTGTTGATGTCATCGACTCTACAATTTGTACCACAAAGCTCTGCTGTGAGACGCGTGTCACTCGTGCACTGAAGCCGATGCCAGTTGTACCGGGCACCAGCCTCAGAGAGAACAGGAGTGCAATAACATTCGAATAGCCTCTCACATGTACTCCTTCTCTTCTCCCGCCGCATGCAGTTTGGCGTCACTCGCGTACTTTATAGCAGCTTGTCGTAAACAATCTCTCATTGCTTGCACCTGTATGTCATGCTGTCGGTCAGATTGCTGCTCGCATGCCATTGATGCTTTTATGTATATATTCATTCTGCCAACATCAGCCAAGCTTTGCCAAGATCGATAAATCCGCGACAGAATGGCGAACATGGGCACGGGATTCTCCAGGCTCTACCAAGTTCTGCCCACATATATCACGCCATCTGAGGCCGACATCTCCGTAGCTCCGTCACTATTTATAGCATGCATGTAAATAAGATTATTGGCTTACTTGAACGATCTTGATCAGTGGATCTAAGCTAAATCAGCGAGACTGAGTACCGCAGCACCCTTTCACAAGCCAACCTCACGGCCGTCGCTCAATCATGAGTCAGTATAACGCGAAGCGTCTCACGTACAAAGGTCGCGTCTCTCGCACACAAACCAAGCGCATGAAAGGTCGTTGGGAATCCGATGATAGCTTTATCACGGTATGCGATGATTTGATGTCGTTGGCCCTCAGCAAATCTGATACGTCTTGGTATCAGGATGCCAAGGACAGTTCTGGCTTCCGATCCCCAAGTCCCCACTCCCGAATGGCCCAGTACGCCGCTGGCCTGACGGAGACAATCGAACGCTTGCAGAATGAGATCCAACTTCTGCAGAAAGGGCGGATCAGTGATCAGGCCGCACTTCAGCGATCGCACGTCCGTATCGAAATGTTTGAAGAAGACGCGGAATATAAGGCCGCGATGATTGACGTTCTGAGCGAGGACGTCGAGCGTCTCGAGGCGGAAGCGGAGGAGCAGAAGAGGGAGATCGACGAGCTCTTGGATCGCAGCGAGCGAGATAATATGGCAAGGGCAGAATCCTTCGTATTGATCAAGGATCAGATATGCAAACTAATCGACAAAGCGGACGTCTAGATTTTAGTTAGATGACTACGTACATCTGAATGGATCTCCGAGCTACATTATCGACGCGTAGTACTACACCGCTATGTCACAAGCCATTCTGACAACCAATGCTCGATCGTGACTAGGTATGAACGAGACCCAATCATCAAGACACGTACGTTCTAGTATACCTCATGGTACAACTGTGACTGCCGATCATGGGCGTTCGCGCTAGCTTGCAAGTCGCACTTGTGTATCCCCCCAAGTCCAGAGCTGAACGGGTCATCCGATTGTAAGACATGCTACTCCCGAACATCGACGTCCGTACCAGCTTTCCACCCTCACTGTGTGTGTCGCCCTATGTGGGGAGCTGGACGAGTCATACTTTCGAACTTCGAACTGAATATCAGGCATTCGAACGGAACATCACAAGATTACCCTGTACTGTCCAACATCGGCGTACGCGGTATTGCATTCGAAGTAGCACTGAAATTGCTCCCGTCGTTATCTTGGCTGGCCATTGGACAGGAGCTGGACGAAGACGAGTGAGAAGTCGCGTCCCCATCGACTCTATCGTGGCTAGACAACGGCAAAGCGTCGTTGGAACCAGCACTGGCACCCGCCATGCTAGGTGGTACCCAGCCTTGACCGAGAGAGTCAGGGTGGTAAGGTCCGTGGAAGGGGTTACAAACTGCATAGGTATCCCCAAGCGCACCGATCGAATAGCTCCTCCTTCCTACACCCGCACCAACCATCTTGTGTGTGCACTCAAGCCCGGAGCTGAACGGGACATCTGATGGTAAGACATGCTACTCCCGAACATTGGCGTCCGTGATAGCTTCCAAGCCTCACTTTGCGTATCGCCCCATGTTTGAAGCTGAACAAGTGAGACATTCGAACTGAATGTCAGAGATTTTACCTGTTACTCCCGAACATTGGCGTCCGCGCTATTTCATTCGAAGTAGCACTGGCATTGCTTCCATCGTTATCATGGCTGGCCTTTGGGCCTGCGTTGAACGAAGACGACTTAGAAGTCGCTTCCCCATCGATTCTATCGACGCCAGACAACGGAAAGGCGTTGTTCGAACCAGCACTGACACCCGCCATGCTAGGCTGAACCCATGCTTGACTGAGATAGTCAGGGTGGTAAGGTCTGTGGAAGGGGTCATACACCGCATAGGTATCCCCCAGTGCACCCATCGACTCACACATCCCTCCTATACCCGTACCCACCATCTGGCGGTTCGTCCTCAAGGTCGGAGCTGAACAGGACATCTGATGGTAAGACATGCTACTCCCGAACATTGGCGTCCGTGCTAGCTTCCAAGCCGCACTTTGTGTATCGCCTCAAGTTCGGAGCTGAACAAGTCATACATTCGAACAGAATGTCAGAGATGTCACCTGTTACTCCCGAACATTGGCGTCCGCGCTAGCTTCCAAGCCGCGCTGTGTGTATCGCCTCAAATCCGGAGCTGAACAGGTGATCTGATGGTAAGACATGCTACTCCCGAACATTGGCGTCCGTGCTAGCTTCCAAGCCGCACTTTGTGTATCGCCTCAAGTTCGGAGCTGAACAAGTCATACATTCGAACAGAATGTCAGAGATGTCACCTGTTACTCCCGAACATTGGCGTCCGCGCTAGCTTCCAAGCCGCGCTGTGTGTATCGCCTCAAATCCGGAGCTGAACAGGTGATCTGATGGTAAGACATGCTACTCCCGAACGTTGGCGTCCGTGCTAGCTTCCAAGCCGCACTTTGTGTATCGCCTCACGTTCGGAGCTGAGCAAGCCATGCCACGACTGCAGGGCTAGAATTAGAAATTCGTTTCAGTGGCTGTGCAGCACGTGGAGCATCGTGAAAATTCTGGGTGGGTGAGTTGTTCTTTCTTCTCCCGGGTCGTCATGGAACGGGGCACTTGGTTTATTTTTCAGACCCCCTCATGTTCACAATTATGCATGATTCTGTCATGGTTCCTTCCTCTCACGTCGTCATACATCGATCGACAATCAAGTTTCATCTTCTCTCTGACATCAAGGATCTCTTCAATCGTGCACCGTTAGCGATAGATGATGTTGTCTCCAGTATGTTGATTGTTATCACTGTGCGGTTGTCGTGTTTGACACGTCACCAGCGCCAATACGAGATATGGCTTCGTTTAACGCACCTTCCTCCCTGTAACTCAAGGGACCGATCGGTCAGCCAAGTTCCTCCAGATGTAAGTACCCTCGGCCACTTGTGCGTATTCATAATTGACATTTAATGTTTCTATCGTCAGTAAAATGGTTCCACTGCGAAGGATCCATAACCTTTGGCTTTCGTTGGGAAGGGCATGACCGTGAAAAGCGCAGGAATCAGCTGGAAGCTCTTGGCAGTAAGTCCACTGTTCTCCAGCTCGAGGGTACCCTTCCATATCTGAATGACCGCAGGGCATGACCGTGATGCGCGGTGACATGAGTAAATTCCGTTGAAGCTGTGTTATGAAGTGGTTAGGGTAACTTTGAATCGCAGACGGGCTGGTACGGTCGTGCCATCTCTATGCGCCATTGCTCAGCTCCAGCTCCCGTACGTTGTTGATTTCGATCTAAGCTCCCTCTCATCGAGTCAAATTGCAGGATCAATGGTGTTTCCGTCACTCTGATTTGTTAGAACTTAGACGGTTCGAGAGCTGCCAAGCCAGGTGATATGTAAGTTCTGGCACGCTACAGCCGTTGACGTGTGGACTTACCATCCATCAGAATGTACGCCCTTAATGGCGGATCCGTCGATGGCAACAGCGTGGATGCTGCAGTTCGGCTGGTTGTAGATGATGAGTGCCCGCACTGCTTACTGATGTCCGACAGAATTCTGACATTTTCTTTGTAGACGCGTTGTACTATGCATCGACATTCTCAGATTGGACTTTTGTGGTGATGGTGCGATGGGTATCGCATCGAGGGAGATATACTCTGGAACATTCGCGGGTGCGTCATATCATTGCCTGAATCGGATGACTCGTTACGCAGGCTGTTCCGTCAGACATGCGATACGCTGTGGAACTGCCTTGGTACTGCTGGAGGGAGCGGGCACGATCGCGTCGGGCGTATGCCCCTCGAATAAAACCACGGCCCACAAATTTACTCTTCAAATGTTAGATACTTTCGAAGCCTGTGCTGCATGTGTATGTCACTTTGTCATTGATCTTGCACGCTTGTAATACAAAAGCGCCTGGAGGATAAACTGCGCTCAGCAGACTGAAATACCGATATGATTTGTAGGCTTCGAGCGGTCAGGACTTGGTCGTGAGGTAAGCCCATGTCCTTCAGGTAACGCCGCACTAACCATACCCATTAGCTACACGAACGTCATTGCGTTCACGTCAACATTGTACCTCGGTTTCTATCGCTTCATACTTCCGTATCATGTATAGTTAGTTTTCGTTTTTACAAACGTCTATGAATGTCATGCAACCACGATCGAGAGTGAATATATGTCCGTGTGGCTGTCGGTTGTCGGCCGTGATTGAGTAGGTTATACTATGTGCTACTTAGATAATAATAACACCTTGGTGATGGAGCATGAACCTGCTGGCACGGCGCAGAAGGTTGCTGTCTGAGAAGCACGTCAGAATGATCCGACGCCCCGAAGTGACTGGTGTGGTGCAGTGAGGCCACGTTCGGGCCATAAAGCCAAAGACACTCCCTGCATGCAGGGGAATACGCCGCTCTACACCTTTGTAGACAAGGGTTATCTCACCACCCTCCCACTCCCCGAGCGCAATAAGCCAAGTGATCGTGTCCAGATCATCATTCCAATCCAAATGAATGACTTCGCTCGTGCCCTCCTTGATGGCAAAACAGAAGAATGCCCCCCTGAAGTCCAGCGCAGGCCGGAGAAGGAATTCCTGTCTTAACAAGCGCTTGATCACTTTGTTCGTCCTCCAAGCGGCAGTCAGTTTCAAATCTAGGATCAGTGACAGTGCAATACTTACCTGAGTTGTCTATCCAGCTGCTTCGGAGCATAGCGCTGCAGTAAGGCAAGGATCTTGGGGGCCACGTGAGTTCCAACAGCCAACAGAAGCCTATCGATGGCACTCAGTGCCTCGGGGGTTTGTAGCCTCGTATCCCGCGTCACCTTGGGGAATGATTGTTGCACTTCCCACACCCCCAGGTGCAAGGCAAGGGTTGACGAGCGGTTCGCCTCCCTCGACCCGGCGTGGTGCTTGACACCAACGAACTGCAGAGCATCCCAAGCCTTGACAATCTCCTTCTGCCCGGGCTTTGTGATGACATGCTCGAACCTCGCCGCCATAAACAAAGGGTGCAGTGGACGACAGGCTTCCTTGGAATCCTCAGGTGGTAGCAGGAAGAAGGAGTCGTCGGGATCAAATCGAGGTAATTGAGATGCTAAAACGCCTTCTGGGTACTGCCGTTGGACAAGCAGATCGACGTGCAACTTGTTTTTTGCTGCGTGCACCAAGTCTCCAGGATATACTTTCAACGTCTCCTTCTCTTAAGTCGACAATGACAAGTTAATAATGTCGTCAGAAGACTCGTGAAAATACCACTCACCCCGTCTTGCCTCCACTGATGCAACCGTCTTACCTTGGACATTGTCCAGGTATACCTTCAGGCGTCGTGCTTTACTCTCGGTGCTTCGTTTGCCACGGCGGGTCTTCCACTTCTGTCTGTACTCGTGTGATTCGGGAATGGGTTTCACTGGAGCCATTTAGTGAATGTTGCGCAGAGGAGACGCGTTCCTCGCTTGTGCGCCGCAAAAGCTAACAACAACATATAGCATCACGAGCAATACGGTCAACATTAATAATCATAATCTTAGTAATGCTTCTAGTCGACGCAAATAATAAAGCTCGAGCCAGCGAGCTTCGCTCCAAAGACATATTCAACAAGGCATGTATCTCCACCGTTCACTACCTCTCTGTATAATGCAACGTCAGTTCAAGATGGACTCCCCAACACAGCGCCTCAAGCTTGCACAATCCGAAGTGGAGTGGGCCACACCAAAGGTATCCTCCAACACTCCGCAGGCCACACACTATGAATAATCTAACTAAGGCTAGCTACCTCTGTCCCGCCAGCCACTACCAAGCCAGCAGCAATGCCGCACGCGCATATCACACCGCCCGCGACTTCGATTAGATCCCAATGCCCCACCACACTCTGCGCATGAATCCAACACACGTCACCAGGTGTTGAAGCGTCGCGTGTGCATGCGGACGACTCGTTGGAGCATAACGACGAATGCGAGAGGAGAATTGGAAGAGGAGAATGAGAGGAAGACAATTGGGGAAATGTTACAAAGGTCAGAACGAGAATATTCTGTTGGCTGTAAATCATAACACTATCGAATTCGCTTGATTCTATCTATATTGTACCCGCAGCCGACCATTCACTGAGCGCGATAAGAGCTAATGGATGCATGCACAAACCGCGTTAAACGCCTCCCGCGCTGGCTATTCTCATGTCCCCCAGCCACTACCATACCGACAGCAGTGCTCGTCCGTTGACGAGCTATCGACAGCACAGCGATTGCACCTGGGAAGAGGTATGCACGTCGCATTGCATCTTGCTTCACCCTTGGGCTTGACCTGTCGGGCGTGTAGAGACCCATACCCAGTACCTGCTCTCCATCACAGCTGGCAAGGCTTCAGGAAGCCGTAGCGAGACGGCGAAAGATACGAATATCCACCTCTAAATTTCTGACGCTGTGAAACGATACTCTGATCGTTCTGGCCAGACCGATATTTTCAAGTGTTTTGTAAATATCATTACGGCAATATAAATTGCGGTACTTACCATTTTCGTCCCTTGTCTCTCGCTCCGCGCCATCTTCGCTGCCTCCGCATCTCAACGTCTGTCATCGATATCATTCATGGCAAACATTAGATCATCGAAACGTGCTCCGCGTAAGCGCAAGTTCAAATCAGACGGTAAAATCGATCCTTCTGTAAGTCATTTGCCGCCTATATCACTCATCCATGATTGACCGTTTGATCGTTCAGGACCTCCCTACAATTATTGTGAAGAGGGTTAGATCATCGGAATGTGCTCCGCGCAAGCGCAAGTTCGAATCAGACGGTGAAAACGACCCTTCTGTAAGTCATTTGCCGCCTATATTACCCTTCCCCGATTGACCGTTTGATCGTTTAGGACCTCCCCACAATTATTGTGAGGAGGGCGAAGCCCTCAGTGGCAAGTCAGGAGACGGTCCGAACCTACATCAGCACAGGACGGCCGACTCGCGGCTATACGCTGCTGTTCCACAAGGCGCCCATCCTGAAGGTGGTCGGAGCACCTCTCCGAACCCACATCAGCACCACACGGCCAACTCGAGGCTATACTCTGATGTTCAAAGAAACGCCCATTCTCAAGGTGGTTGGAGTACCTCCTGCGGCGCGCACTCCTTCGCCACCGCCTGCTCCTCCTTCGACTCCTCCTCCTCCGCCTCATCGTACCTCTCCTCCGCTACCTCTCTTCTTGCCCAGCCCTCCGTCTAGTCCGGAGCCTTCGATGTTTGGTTATTGTAGGGAGCTTTTGCTTTGACGACTAATCCATGGACCAGTTCTGATATGTTAGGCACACTACATATTAGATACTAAGTACCATATCCAGTCGATTTTATATCTATTCCCGAAGGAATGCGCGCCAACTTCAGTTCTAGGTGGGTTAGCTATGATCGTTCATATAGATAAGTCCATCGGGTGAATCAAGCGGCGAAATGGCACCGAAATAGCACCGAATATATAGTAGATATACCTAGAACCTATTATGCACCCATCGTTAGGAGGAAGGCGCAATAAATAAATCGTACATTCACGGATTCGCTTCCAGTTCAGTCTACCATACTTACACGACCCAATCGCGTGCTCATTCGGTCTATTCTTTGTGAAATGGACTCTCCATTACGCTAGGGTCATAGGCAACATATAGCCCTTCATACATTGATGGATTACAACATAAAACGACTTATTAAAAGGTACGGCTGAAGAACTCTTCATCTGAGTATGGATCGTCGTCATCGGAGTGGAGATCGTCGTCGTCGTAATAGAGTATGATGACACCCTCAGGTGTATCATACCTTTTACTGTCGCGTTGCAGATCTTTCAGCCTGCCCCTTTCCTTCATATCATTGGTGATATTGACGCGAGTCTCGCCACGATCCTTCGTCACAAAGGTCCTCTTCTTCATCACTTTCTCACCGACAAGAGGTATCTCCCCCGCCCTCCAAAAGCTATCCTTTGTCGGGGGACCTTGAACAACTATTATACACAAAATGTCAGGGATGATATTTACAGACCAAGCGATATCACTTACCAAGCCTAGTGGAGACCTTTTCCAATCTCTTCTTAATTTCACAGGCTTTCACGCCCCATGGGTCGTCGCTCAAGCTGTCACCAGGGTTCAGACCCCATGGGTCTTCACTAAACCTCAACCAAGCATTATTGTCGGCGTCTTCGACCTTATTAACTTCGGCGGTCTTGGCTGCCTCTGCGGTCTGTTGGTAGTAGGTCAGTTGTGTACCTGTGAATGGAAGACGGCGGGCGTTACTTACGTTGCATTTTCTACGTCTGACGCGGCGGTTGAATTGATCTTGGTCACTCCTGCCCCTCTTGAGACTTGATGGGAACATTGTAACTGGAGGGTGTGAGATGACCTGAAGGAGTTCGAGGTAGAAGAAGGAAGCTTCGAAGTGTTGAGGCAGGTAAGACGAGTCTGGCGCATTATTTATTCTGTCCCATTGTGGCTACTTCCCACGATTGTTCTTCTGTGGATCTACTAGCATGTGGATAATGTTGTTCTGTAGTGGATATGTCGAGGGACTGATCCAGAAAAGGTATATTATTCCATCGTCATTGTTTGGGTAGCGCCAATGATCTTTCTTGAGGCCGTGACGCCTATCAGGGAAGCGCTGGTCCATCCAAACTGTTCGTCGTGGACAGCGAACCGATGGCAGTTTGTTTCCTTTGCGACCAGCGTGTGTATTTCTCAAGGTGCTAACTTTGATCTAATCGTGCACCTAGCAGGTCCCTTGCAGCACAACGCTCGCATCCTACAAGCCCCCCAAACATTCAATCCAGACTGTGTGCCCCACCCGAGATCCAAGTCTATCTCAGATTCAACGTTGAAGTCAGCATTTGGCACGATCGCTGCCACAGAACTCGTGTACACACGATCCAACCAAGTACTGGACTCGTCGTGACCAATGTCGTCGCCTCCTTCAATGCGTTCGATTAATCGCAAGCTGTTCTTCGCATCGTGGCGTCGCATACCCTCCTTCGCGTCGAATCCGAACAGTTCAGTGTCCTTCGTACACGAGCGGAAGCTCATCACCCATACAACTAATGATCTGGCTAGATTGCCGTTTGTCGAGCCCAACGTCGAAGGCTTCGGCCGTGCATTTTAATATTAGCAGTAGCTATACACGACATTGTAGTATTTCGCGACTTAGTGAAGTGGGCATTGGAGCGTCATACGCTTAGTGCACTTCATGAAGTATCTGCAATGCATGCTTATACAAGAAAGACCGGGTTTGACAAGAACGACACACGACAAGAGCAATGAAACGGCAGGGTGCATTCCATAGCACCAATGATGCTCTCGGCATCTGCGCGCGTATGTCTTAACGAGGGGGAATAGTCGGTGCTTCAATGCTGGGATAGGTACCCCTCATGCTAGATTTAAAACACTCTCAATTAAATGTCGTTTTCGATATTGGACGAAGCGCTCCACCAGTTTATGGAATGCATGAGGACCTCATCTACCTCATCCAACGAGTAGCGACACGAATAGATATCCACAACTTCTGCGCGTATGCGCCAAAACGAGGCGAATATTCGGTGAATCAATCATCGGTTTGGCATTCATGATCTGACGTTTCACACACTCTTAATACCATTTGTGACATTTACGACGCGATCTACCAGTCTAGGGAGTGATCGAGGACATCGTCCACGTGCTCCAACGAGGAGCGACACATGCTAATTACAGACCAAACACAGGAGTCCCTCTTTTCAGCCCTTCTCCTTGCCCGGTCCATTTCGATCCGGCGTTCGAAGGCTGGACCGATGAATCTGAGGATGGAAACGCTCGACAGCATTATCTTGTGCGCCATGAGTTGGATTTCCAACATCCTCTTTCTGACATGGGCATTCTTGAGCCCAGAATCGGCGTCCCAAAGTGCGCACTCCTTCATCACCATCTCCGCCTCCTTCCTCAGTGCCCGGGCCATGCGTACCAATCCCCAGATATCCCTAGTCATGGACGCTTTGTCGCGCATCGAGGTTTCGACCGAGGTCCTATTGCCGCTCTCCCTTTGCCCCGCTGCCACATGCGCTCCTCCAGCATCGTTGTCGTTTGCAGGCTGCCCATCGACACACCCACCGGGAATGGCCAAGGTGGCAAACGCTTGAGAAAGAATCTCATTAAGACCGTTTGATAATACCACCATGCGCCGTCTAACGCGCATGTTGACCATCCGCGTGTGGTCATCACCAGTATCCTCTGGATCATATCGATCCTCAGATGCCTCGTACGTTCCCTCGATCATGTCCTCGAGGGCTGACTCAAAGGGGAGTGCTACACCGATTGTGAACATCGTGTAAGATACATAGCAGGTAGGCATTCATATACGCACCGAAAGTCATACGCGTTCCCTCGGGCCGTCCACCAGTACTGGGCATGACGTGTATTAATTGATAAGTATCGATTTAGAATGAGGCGAAGTCAAGTCAAGTGAACTGTGAAGAACGATCCCTTGGTGCGCGATGGGCCCGAGTTAAATAAGTTGTGGATTGTGGATTGTGGATTGTGGATTGTGAACTGTGGATTAAATGTTAGACTAACTCGGACGCGGGTGCTGTGGAAGAGTGATCCGGTGGAGTAGGATCTATGAATCTGCGGCAACTCAACATTGCATAATAAAGTGCGTCCTACATCAGACGTTAGGAGCATCAACAGTCACTGTCCACAGTCCACACATCCACAGTTAGCATGTCTATTTAATCCCGCTGTCTCGCTACTCTTCACTATCTACAACGCCCATCTCAACAGCATCCAAGTTTCATTATAGCAACCGACAAACTTAGATTTCTCTACAATCATCATTTTCCATGTCGCAGTTCACAAGGAAACGGCCGGCAGAGGACAGCCCGCACTCTCCTTGCATTAGAAAGCGCATCAGGGGACCTGTAGATGGGGATGTTACAGGATCATCCATGGTATGTTGCGCTAAAAAAATCTCTGTACATCTGTTGACATGATATGCAGGATGAAGAAGACTCTTACATTCACGCGGTGCGCGACACAAGCCCTGAGTCAGGCGCCACCGAGCTAGCGCTAGAGCTACAGACGACCATAGTCAGGATGCAGGCACAACTCGAAGCATTACACGACGATATGTATTGCGATGAGGCTGCTCGTAAGCGGGAGATGCGTGAGCACGAGCTGCAGATCAAAGAGCACACCGACCATATTGCAGCCCTGGAATCGAAAGTGCGGTCCCAGCAGGATCTGCTGCGCCGGCAGTCCATGGACCTGGAATGTCTTCAGGGAAAAACGGAGAGCCAGGCAAAGCGAATTGATGAGCTCATGCGCGCGGAACTGATCAAGGAGATGTTGGATGAGCAGTGCTTGAAGTTGATGAAGGATGCAATCGAGATTCTGGAGACCTGACATTTGCCATATTGTAAGCCTGGTGGCTTACGTACACATGACATATGGTTCATTGCATCGTAGATACCTCTTTCCCTTAGCTTGTACCTTACCGTCGTCGTCGTCGTCTCGCAATCCAGATCGTGGTTCTGTTTTGTTTCGTGTGTTTCTTCAGTGTTTCTCATTGGCCACGACTTGTTTCCACACATATCCCCTTCGAATATATCAGATACTCAAACGCATCACATGCAATTCCACATATCTTGCTATTGATTGACCAGGGAGACGCCCCTGACTGTACTTAGCCGCGCTTACTGTCATTGGAGCAGCACCAATCAGCGGTGCTCGTTCTAGTTACATTTGCCACATCCAATTAATTACTACTTTGGGAGTACCAGTACAACGACGCCTGACAATGAACGGAACCTTGTTCAACGGTTTCAGATGGTGTACCTGAGGTGTCGGCATTCGGGAGTTCGGTGAGGGAAGAGAGTCGTGCCCGTGCATCATATCAAGAGCATTTCCGAATGGTATCGGACTTCATGCTATTGAGGCGTGCCATCATCTATGGTATTCCATTCGGATATTGACGACGCCCTACATGCTCGTGCTAGTTACATTTGCCACATCTAATGACTACTTTGGGAGTACCAGTACAACGACGCCTGACAATGAACGGAACCTTGTTCTTCAACGGTTTCAGATGGTGTACCTGAGGTGTCGGCATTCGGGAGTTCGGTGAGGGAAGAGATGCGTCCTACATCAGACGTTAGGAGCATCAACAGCCACTGTCCACAGTCCACACATCCACAGTTAGCATGTCTATTTAATCCCGCTTTCTCGCTACTCTTCACTATCTACAACGCCCATCTCAACAGCATCCAAGTTTCATTACAGCAGCCGACAAACTTAGATTTCTCTACAATCATCATTTTCCATGTCGCAGTTCACAAGAAAACGGCCGGCAGAGGACAGCCCGCACTCTCCTTGCATTAGAAAGCGCACCAGGGGACCTGTAGAGGGGGATGTTACAGGATCATCCATGGTATGTTGCGCTAAAAAATCTCTGTACATCTGTTGACACGATATGCAGGATGAAGAAGACTCTTACGTTCACGCGGTGCGCGACGCAAGCCCTGAGTCAGGCTTCACCAAGCTAGAGATAGAGCTACAGACGACAATAGAAGGGTTGCAGGCACTACTCGAAGAATTACACGACAATATGGATCACGCTGAGGCTGTTCGAAAGCGGGAAATGCGTGAGCACGAGCTGCAGATCAAAGAGCACACCGACCGTGTTGCAGACCTGGAATCGAAAGTGCGGTCCCAGCAAGATCTGCTGCGCCGGCAGTCCATGGACCTGGAATGTCTTCAGGCAAAGACGGAGAGCCAGGAAAAGCGAATTGGTGAGCTACTAGCCGCGGAACTGATCAAGGAGATGTTGAATGAGCAGTGCTTGAAGTCGATGAGGGATGCAATCGAGATTCTGGAGACCTGATATTTGCCATATATCCACTTCGAATAAATAACATACTCGAACGCATCACATGCAATTCCACATATCTTGCTATTGATTGACCAGGGAGACGCCCCTGACTGTACTTAGCCGCGCTTACTGTCATTGGAGCAGCACCAATCAGCGGTGCTCGTGCTAGTTACATTTGCCACATCTAATGACTACTTTGGGAGTACCAGTACAACGACGCCTGACAATGAACGGAACCTTGTTCAACGGTTTCAGATGGTGTTCCTGAGGTGTCGGCATTCGGGAGTTCGGTGAGGGAAGACATGCGTCCTACACCAGACGTTAGGGTCAACAGCCACTGTCCACAGTCCACACACATCCACAGTCCACACATCCACAGTTAGCATGTCTATTTAATCCCGCTGTCTCGCTACTCTTCACTATCTACAACGCCCATCTCAACAGCATCCAAGTTTCATTATAGCAGCCGACAAACTTGGATTTCTCTACAATCATCATTTTCCATGTCGCAGTTCACAAGAAAATGGCCGGCAGAGGACAGCCCTGATTCTCCTTGCAATAGCAGGCACACCAGGGGACCTGTAGAGGAGGGTGTTACAGGACCATTCATGGTATGTGGCGTTCACAAATATCTGTACATCTGTTGACATGATATGCAGGATGCAGAATACTCTCACATTCACGCGGTGCGCGACGAAAGCCCTGAGTCAGGCGTCACCGCTCTAGAGATAGAGCTACAGACGACCATAGAAGGGTTGCAGGCACAACTCAATGAATTACACGACAATATGCGTCACGCTGAGGCTTATCATAATTGGGAGATGCATACTCACAAGCTGGAGGTCAAAGAGCACACCGACCGTATTGCGGACCTGGAATCGAAAGTGCGGTCCCAGCAAGATCTGCTGGACTTTCGGTGCAAGGACCTGGAACGTCTTGAGGCGACGCGGGAGAGCCAGGAAAAGCGAATTCGTGACCTCGTACGCGCGGAACTGCTCAAGAAGATGTTGAATGAGAAGTGCCTGAACATGATGAGGGATGCAATCCAGATTCTGGACACATGACATTTGCCATTTATCCCCTCAGGATAAATCACATACTCAAATACATCACATGCAATTCCACCTATCTTGATACTGCCAGTATTGCGTCTTGGGGAGCCTCGAGTCATCAATATGAAGGCAGGCCCTCTTCCACATTGTTTAACCTCGCTCCAAATTGTTGCTCCCGAGAAGAAGGCGAATGCCAACACATGACCAGCGCTAGTGCTTCTTTGTCGAGCAACCGTGGACGTCCCTGTTACGAAGGGAACGCGAATAATGTTTGAATCCGAGACGGGGTTTCGGATGGTGTACCTGGCGCGTTGTCATTCGGGAGTTCGGTGAGGGAAGGGAGTTGTGCTCGTGCATCGTGTCGAGAGCATTTCTGAATGATATAGGACTTCATGCTAATTGGGCGTGCGGAGTCCCGATACTATGAACCATTTCTAACGTGCGACGACATAATGCCACTGGGATGCCGGACATGGATCTCAGAATGTGTCATGAAAGCGTTTATGAGGACAAGATATTGCAACTACCCTGATTTTGAACTTTCATTTCTGCTCCATGCAGGCGATCATTAATGGGTCACTTATAAATCCTACGCTTGATCAGAAACCCCAGTCTCTAACTGCCTTGCTTACTCCTCGCCTCCTCCTATACTATACTCGCCCATGCAGGATGGCTTACGAACGGCAATTCTTTGGTTAGTGTACTGACGCTTCAGGTTCTGGTGACTGACTAGCTTCCCATAACTAACTAACATTGCCTGCAAGCAATGAAAGATAGCATTGATATGCTGGAGGGAGGAACCTTGGGATCTATCCCGCTCGAATAGACGACATACAGATACCATTTCCAGCCATGATGCTACTGATTGACCAGGATCGACGCATCTTGCTCTACTTAGCCGCATTTATTATCATTGCAGCAGCACCAAACAGAGGTGCTCGTGCTAGTTACGTTTGCTACACATAATTAATTACTACTGCGCGCATTAATTGTAATCGCGCTTATCTGGATATGGTGCTTCGATCACATAATCGATCAGTACATCACACGCCATAGCAGTCGTCTTGTACTTCGTCGACGATGAAGGTTCCACAAGAGGTTTTGATCAAAATCTTCGCAATGGCGACCAGGAGTAGAGGAAGTGCGGCCTCATGGATTTTATATCAGTGGAGGAGTAAAGGCTGGTGAGTGTTTGAACACATTCTGAATCAAATCCATCATCACGATCTCACTGATCGCACTGATCATCCTACTACAGGTTCGAAAAGCAGCTTTATGAGAGGGTCCTGCTGCGCGATGAAGAAACCGCCTCTTTATTCGTTCAATGCCTGCGACGTCGCGACATGCACGAGGAGTTTGCGAAGACATCCGTCAAATCACTATCGCTCTCTGGAGATGTTCAGGTCTCAACTATTATCGATATCCTGTGTCTCTGCACGGGAATAAATCACCTTAGCCTAATTCCCGACCACGATGATTTTCAAAGCGACATAGCACCTCTACTACAATTGCTGGACACCCTACCTCTGAAGGTACTGTCGTTACAAGTCGCCGTCCAGCTCACTTCCCCTTCCATCTCCAATGTCACCTTCTTCGCCAAACTCACGCATCTTGAGATCGACCCGAGCGACATGCTTCAACACGCTGACATGGCATGCTTCCCTCAGTTGACTCATCTATCGCTGTGGAGCAGCTTTCACCACCCACGCGACAGAATACCATCGCTGGTGAAGCGGATTCTCTGCCATCCAACCCTCCAGGTACTCATATTCCGTGTCACCTATCACCGAAACCTTGCAAAGTTTCTGGATGACAACATGCTCAACGATCCTCGCATCGTCCTCGCACCACCAAAGGTCTATTTGTGGGATGATCTTGGGCGTTCATCCATGCTACTGTGGGAGCTAGCTGAGGAACGGGTTGCATCGGCTGAGCCAAATCACAGTTCGTCCATCCTTTCCATTATGGCGACATTCACTAACTACACCATACAGACAACCATCGCTGCTTTACAAGGACCATGCTCAAGAACGGAATCTTGGATTGTATGAACATGAATAGGGTCCCGGAACATGACTTGGAATATCAGGCGCTTCCGTGTATCATATTAGGTGAGGATAGAAGCGTTCGACATGGTTACTACGATGATGATAGATCGTAGAGGAGGACGGGTACTAATAAACAGACGAGGAGGAAAGCCAAGATGGCACTGAAGAGTAGGGACGTTTATTCAACTCAGTCTCAAGTAGAACAATCGCGCAGTCGACGACAGTTTAGATAGAATTCTAATGACCTTGCCGGTTCAGTTGCTCGACAGCGATGTGCTGCACATATAACAGTATCAGCGCCGTCGGACCTCTTCCACGTTTGCGTCCGTCCCCCATTTGCTGCAGGCACAGGTGCTGTGGCCGATCCTTTGGTACATGCATGGGTTGGATGCATGCTTCTCATTCCTTCGTGTCAGCTGCTTCACTCGAGGATGAGCAGCCTCACATTTCTTTCTTTCGTTCTTTCTCTTGTTCTCTCATTCTTTCTCTTTTCACATTTCTCAGTGCAAGGGAAAGACAGCCGGCATAAGTCGTAGTGAAGAGATGCAAAGAAATTTTGCCTCCCACAGAATGAGTGCGGAGATGGGCGCAGGCGCAGGGATGGTGTGCACGGGTATGTGAGTGAGCAGTGAGTTGATTGGTGGGCTTGGGGATACCTATGCGGCGTATAACCCCTTCCCCGAACCTTACCACTCTGACTATCTCGGTCCAAACTGGGTGCCACCTAGGACGGCGGGTGTCAGTGCTGGCTAAATCACGACTTTGCCGTTGTCTGGTGTTGATGGTGTCAATGGGGAAGCGACTTACAATTCGTCTTCGTCCCATGGTGGTATGCTATAGAGAAGGACTGATCAGCAATACTGCAGGTAGAATTGGACGAAAATCGAAACTCTCGAGGATGCGAAACACAGCGCGTGACTCGTTGGCAACAGCTCGGCACGCCCAGGTGGTGGTGGAGCAGGTGAGGGTGTACAGGGTGCATGTCGCATTCCTACCAACACGTCCCGCAGGAGGACGAAGTATTTGGGCATTTGGTCATGACCGTTATCAGTGGTGGAGGGCAGGAAACAAGCAAGGCACTGTTTGTACGCTTATGGAACACCTATTTTAAATTTTAAGAAAATGAAGAAAGACGTACCATCATATAAGCGAGAGCTGTGTGTCCCATGAACGCGAAACACTTGACTCTTGCCTGGGACACGCAGCACAGGGAGGCTCCAGACAGAAAATGCGTGTCCCATGAAGCAGCAAATTGCTGGACTTAGCATGGGACACGCTGAAAGCACCAAGACGGACGTGCAAGCTAAGGACAGCGTAAGTCATGATGGAGATAGCGCACACAGACTTGCGAAGCTTCACAAACACTGAGTTACATTACATTGGGATGTCGTTCTTGCAGTCAGAGAAGGGAAAGCAACACTCAATGACGTGTCGGAAAGGGAACGCTGTTTGACACCTCAGCACACACATTCGAGAGACACTGAACACTCACATTCTTCCGCCCTTTGTTCGCCTCGACAATGGCAAGTTTGTCATCGTTGTTGTTGCCGTTAGCGTGTGGCCCGGTGTTTTCGGGGTACGTGGTTGGTCGTGGCTGCGCCAAAATCACCTGACTTACCGTTGCGTGTCCCATGTGTTGAATATTATTGAGAATGCCGGAATGCCGATGTGGCGTGAGACCGTCAAGTGATGCGTAGTTCAAATATTCGTCTGAGTTCTAATTATCTTTCTGTTCTTTACCTTCACCATGGGTTGCGCGCCTTTATGGGCGTTTCACTGTCGCTGACGGTGGCCTATTGGTGTTTTGTCCTTCTTTGTTCGCACTTGTGACGTACCTGACGACTCGTTGGTCCCGCGTTTTCATGGGCGCATTCTGACGCTGTCAGTGCCTCTGAGTTCACGGTCGTTGCTTGTTGCTTTCTCGCTTGTCCGTCCCTGCTTGTCCTCTGTTCGCACTTGTGACGCACCTGACGACTCGTTGGTCCCGCGTTTTCATGGGCGCATTCTGACGCTGTCAGTGCCTCTGAGTCCACGGTCGTTGCTTGTTGTTTTCTTGCTTGTTCGCACTTGTGACGCACCTGACGACTCGTTGGTCCCGCGTTTTCATGGGCGCATTCTGACGCTGTCAGTGCCTCTGAGTCCACGGTCGTTGCTTGTTGTTTTCTTGCTTGTCCTTCTTTGTTCGCACTTGTGACGCACCTGACGACTCGTTGGTCCCGCGTTTTCATGGGCGCATTCTGACGCTGTCAGTGCCTCTGAGTTCACGGTCGTTGCTTGTTGCTTTCTCGCTTGTCCGTCCTGCTTGTCCTCTGTTCGCACTTGTGACTACCTGACGACTCGTTGTCCCGCGTTTTCATGGCGCATTCTGACGCTGTCAGTGCCTCTGAGTCCACGTCGTTGCTTGTTGTTTCTTGCTTGTCCTTCTTGTCGCACTTGTGACGCACCTGACGACTCGTTGGTCCCGCGTTTTCATGGGCGCATTCTGACGCTGTCAGTGCCTCTGAGTTCACGGTCGTTGCTTGTTGCTTTCTCGCTTGTCCGTCCCTGCTTTCCTCTGTTCGCACTTGTGACGTACCTGACGACTCGTTGGTCCCGCGTTTTCATGGGCGCATTCTGACGCTGTCAGTGCCTCTGAGTCCACGGTCGTTGCTTGTGTTTTCTGTGCTTTGTTCGCACTTGTGACGCACCTGACGACTCGTTGGTCCCCGCGTTTTCATGGGCGCATTCTGACGCTGTCAGTGCCTCTGAGTCCACGGTCGTTGCTTGTTGTTTTCTTGCTTGTCCTTCTTTGTTCGCACTTGTGACGCACCTGACGACTCGTTGGTCCCGCGTTTTCATGGGCGCATTCTGACGCTGTCAGTGCCTTTGAGTCCACGGTCGTTACTTGTTGCTGTCTCGCTCGTCCATCCTCCTTCATATCAGCTTGTACTCGCTTGTTGCTGTCTTGCTTGTCCGTCGTCCTTCAAATCTGCTTGTTCGCACTCGTGACGTACCTGACGACTCGTTGGTCCCGCGTTTTCATGGGCGCATTCTGACGCTGTCAGTGCCTTTGAGTCCACGGTCGTTGCTTGTTGCTGGCTCGTCTGTCCGTCATCCTTCATATCTGCTTGTCATCGCTTGTCCGTCCTGCACGCCTGCTGGCACTTGTTGCTTTCTCGCTTGTACGTCCTGCTTGTCCACGCCTGCTCGCACATGTGACGTACCCGACGTCTTGTTGGTCCCGTGTGTTCATGGGCGCATTCCGACCATGTGAGTCCCCTTTCAATCCACGGCCGTAGCTTGTTGCTCTCTTGCTTGTCCGCCATTCTTCATATCCGCTTGTACTTGTCGTCTGATTGTATCGGCCGAATGAAAGATATAATTATTTTCTACATGTACCATCTGATTAATATTAATTAAAAATTTAAACAATGCAATGTTTGAACGCTCACATAATCATGAACAAAAATGGCTTGGCCCAAATGAATGATCGTCCTTTCTATCTTAACCTTCAACCACCATGTCCGACACCTACACCCTACGCTGCTGGATACGAGGTACCGAACCACACGAAACTTTCAATTTGACAATTTCACCCTTGGACACTGTTGAAACTCTGAAACCCATGATCAAGCATTATTATGGTCTTGAAGGGCCTCCGTCTACATTGCGATTGTACAAGCCACGTGATCTGGTGGCCGAACCATACGAGGCGAATTTGAGCAATGTGATCCTATCTACGCTTCAGCCACCATTGCTCTCATCCCATCAGATATCGACCCTGTTTGAACGACCGCCCCCGAAAGATCACATTCATATCATAGTAGGTGTGTAGTAGCTGCAATGCAACCTTGGCCATGCAATTAATTAATTACGATCCCCAAGATGCACCGAAACTCCTCATTTATTGCTGGTTACGAGGTAGCACTGGGGAGAAGGGATTTGACGTCTGCATCAAGCAAAATACCTCGATCGGAGCCCTCAAAGATGCCATCAAGGAGGTCGAATCAAAACTCAAACGTGTAGACCAAAGTCGCATCAGCTTATACAGAATATCTGCGTCGGAGGACGATCTTCGGGAGAGTCTAGATACCATCAATGCGGGTCACTTGCTAGAGGTCACAAAATCATTGCCTGCATACCATCATTTCCTGTGCGTGCCGGTTCTCGAGCAGCTCCGCATCGTAGTCCAAGTTTACTCTGAAACCAATAGTGAGTCGATGCATTATCTCATTGAGTCGGATTTCACGAATTTATGGATCGCAGGGTCGACGAATCCTCCTCAATCTATGCACCCCATCTCCACGGGAGAGGATGCGATCCGAATTGCACGGGAATCCTTCCTTGCCCATACCGATAACCATTTCCATTCAAAAGGAAAGAAACGATCGCAATCTCCTTCTGAAACCTCCCATCCTTCATCCTTTCGTGAACGACAGCTGGACACAAAGATACAGATAGCCTGCGGTCGCCCTCGCGAGATCGAGGAAACCATTCCTGCCACCTTGTTGCATCCAGCCTTCGGCCAATTTATCGACGACAGCCTGACTCACACAGTGACGGAAGAAGACAACAATCTCGTCGGCAAACTCGCCCATGTCATGTCAGCACTGTACGAAGATGAAAACAAGCGAGCGGATGCGGTTAGCGAGGTGCTTGAGGGATACCACCTTCGCTTCCACTTGAAACGCAAGATTCAAGGAACAGCGTATGAAACGGACGGAGACATGTCCATCGACGTTAATAACCGTCGTCATCCTTATGTCATTGTCGAATTCAAGAACGAGGCGGCGAAATCCAACTCGGAACCATACTTGCAGGCTCTTATGTACTACCTGCAGTCGACGAGAACGTACGCGCCCAGTTTGTCTGGGTCTACCCTACCCTGTCTTCTGGTTGTCATTTTCGGTTCGTGTCAAGATCTCCTTTGTTTTAGAATATGACATAGGAACTCATCGTTTGTCCAGGACCAATGATTATATTCGCAGGCGCTGTCTGGACGTTGCGTCCTGCTGTTCAGATTCTTTCCACCCCTCTTATCTTCAATTTCCATTCCTCGGATAACTACAATCATGTCACCGCTGCGCGTCACATGGCTGCATTCCGCAAAGCTGCCCGAACCCTCCAGAGCCATTACGACACGCTACCTCCTGATTTTGAACTTGTCAGCAAGCTATCCCACCCCACGATCTTCCCATATCCGACAAGCTTTACATCTCTCGAGGACAACAGCACCATCGTCTTCAAATATAGAGAGCATCTCGATGAAGATGGGGGAAAGTCAAAAAGACTCATCTTTTTCGGGACCCTCAACGAAGGGGATGCTGAGGTTGCGATATGCATCAAATTCGTCCGACATTATTCACGGGTTGCTCATATGCATTGCGCTCAAGCAGGCGTTGCCCCTAGATTGCGAGGATTTGAACAGCTTCCTGGAGGCTGGTACATGGCAGTGATGGATAGACTTGTCGCATACGACGTATTGGCCGACTTGCCCATTGGTGAACGCATCCCCCGATGTGTGTTCGATGCCATCGGGGAGCAGCTGAAGACGCTTCACGCTCGCCAGCTGGTCCATGGCGATATACGCGATACTAACATCTTGCTCAAGACGGATGACAGGACGAAGTTCATGATAATCGACTTCGACTGGGCGGGGGTAGAAGAGGTCGTGCGATATCCGGCATTCGTGAATTACAGGGATATACAAAGACCAAATGATGCGAGAGACGGACAACCCATCCAAGCAGCTCACGATGATGCCATGCTGGATTTTCTTATTGCGAGGTGGTCCCAGGAGTAATCCTACGAGAACACATAGAAATAAGACGAACACAGACCACCTACTAGATGTTTGTAGATACATGATTCGAGAATGATGCATACCCTTGAGAGTCGTGCTACCGACGCTGAGTAGACCTCAGTTCGCACGTTTGTGAGCAACGTTTCAACCATACATTCGGAATAATGAGCAGTCAGAAGAGGGAAGAAGGAAATCATGATTGACCCATCTTGAATTACACGCTGTTCCACGACACAGCTAATGTTTCTCGTCCGCCCACAGGACAGAGAAGTGAGAGATGCGTCCCAGGACAATGCACTACTCGTATTTTTTGGCATCGACACCACAGACAGATTGAGATTTAGTTGGGTTAAACCTAACTAACTAGAGACACTGAAGAGACACACGAAACAAAACAGAACCACGTTCTGGATTGCGGGACGACGACGACGGTAAGGTACAAGCTGAGGCAAGGAGGTGTCTACGCTGCATTGAACCATGTGTGTATGCGTACGTGAGCCACCAGGCTTTCACTAGTTAAGGGACCTGCAACTAATCATACGAACTCACATGGACGATATTCGATCGCTACATGTTTCATAATACCACAGTTTGTGGCATTGTGACTGCTCACATTTGCACGTGGCAGGAGATCACACGACGGAATGTGGACTGGCCCTTGTGTATTTCTGTGGGTCAAGCAAAACGACATTGTGGTGGAACGACCACTGTAAATCTATTGTTCTCTCTCACCATTAAAACGGTCATTACCTATTTGCCAGGTTTCTATTCTACCACCACCATCTCATTGCCCATCCATGTATTCAGCCCCAAAGTTGAAATTGATAGAGCCAGGATGCCGATCCTGCGTAGCAGACAATGAGCTATGCTACGGGTATTGTTCCGAAACAGCATGCCGCAGATGCACCGAGAGGTGTTCCTTGTTACCGGGTAAGTCGTCTCCAATTCACTTTATATTCTCAACTCACGATGATCGACAATGTCAGGACGTCCTGTAAGGCCTTTTATCATCCGCGCGATCAACACAGTCAGTCGAGGCTGCGAGTACTGCAAGGCCATGGACTACATTTGCCGAGCAAGAGCTGGCGAGGCGTGTGTCCCTTGCCAGCAAGTCTGTAGCAATGGTGCGAGATGATTTACTTAGTACTGTCCTGATGATACTCACTGATCCTTGTATCAGTTGAAAAGACTGAGTCTTCTGACGAGTCTGACGCGTATGACGCAGAGTCTGAGTCTTCTGACGTGTCTGACGCAGAGTCTGAGTCTTCTGACGCGTCTGACGCAGAGTCTGAGTCTTCTGACTCCTCTGATGATGTGGTCGTCTATGACCATAAGCCAGAAGACTGGATCGATAGCACACAAGGAAACTCGAGGAAGAGACGACGAGACGACGACGACGATGTGATCGTCTTGGCCCAAAAACCAGCTGACTGGATTGACAGGCCGCTGGATGTGAAGAGGAGGCGCAAAGACTTGAGGCAGGCCGATTAGCAGAATAACAACCAGGCTGTGAAAGCAGCTAGTTCGACAATAGGTACTCAACTAAACAAAGTATGGGATCATGCACCGCACTGCTCTCGAATTGCATGATGCGTCTCACTGATAGTTGGTCTCTTACCTACAATTTTGTAGCATACACATGCCGACCAATATTAGTCTATCACTCAGAGACACGCTTGATGAGCGCAATGCACTCTGTGTTGCTGATGGTCAAATTTCAGTGTCTATTTTGCAGGGGGATCTCGAGATTTATACATAAATGACAGAGTTTCGTCTAATAGAACTTTCCCTTAGCCATACCACCCGGACTACCTCTGCAATAATTGGGCACCGCCCAGCGTATCGATGGAGAAGCGGGTTCCAACGCGTCGTCGTCTAACGCGTCTCCATGAGTGCAGTCATGGCAGCATACGTCCAACTCTTATTCGACTGGGCGTACTGCCAAGCGCCGCCGCATGAGCACTGACAGCGTGTCAGAACCCCCTAGCAGTGCAGTTCCGTACTCCTCTTACGGAGGAGACAGTTTTACGACTGGTTCTGGTGCGATGAGTGGGCGCACCTCTTCTTTTTCGCGGCGCAGCATCATGGACCTTCCATTGTTCAGTCCTTATACCGTGTTTAGAGGGAACGGCAGCAATGCGTTTTGGAACCATTCTAGCAACGGGGCGCTGAACGCAGCACGCAATCTTTCGTGCACCCTCCGATGTTGCCTGATGCTGCTGGAACCGCTGACAATCATGCACGTGGGCATGGACATCGGATGGAGTTCTTGCACCCGCCAATGATGCTTCCGCAAGGAGAGACAATTCTGGCTTCTGCTGGCGTTGTGGCTGATGTGGCGGCGCTCCCTTCGCCCTTTACTGGGCGGCGTACTGGGCCTTTTGGCTTGGGCGGAGTTGCCGTTGGGGCTGTTCCCAAATACCGTATTAGCTTGTAGCTTCATAGTCGTCTCATCAAATTTTGTGCTTTGCTAAGTATTTTCCCTTCGCTGATCCGTCCCAGGCTGAACAAGTCCATGGGTGCACTACATCATGTCTCGCCGCTCATCTCTCCACAGACTCGCTCGCCTATTCGCCATCAACCCAAATGAAATCGAATCCCTCGTACGGCTTTATGTTGCGCTTTTGCCATGTGGAAAATGTGAGGGCATATGACAAATGACCACAACCTCATATAGATCGCCCAGATATCTGAGAGTGGCAGGGAGCACTGGACTCTGGGTATGGTCGCACGATCCTCGTAGAAGGATTGATCATGGTCTACCAAGCGCCGCAGGCAGAACGCTTACCCAACGAAGTTCAGTTCTCGCTTGGTGGATTCACGCGGATCACCCAGCGCACAAGCTTATGTCCCGCTCTACCGGGTGTGACCGGAACAAGTCGTCGCGAAGAGATGCAAAGGAATCTTGCCTCCCACAGCATGAGTTTGGAGATGGGCGCAGGCGCAGGGATGGTTGGTACAGCTATGGGAGTGAGCAGTGAATTGATTGGTGGGCTGGGGGATATCTATGCGGTGTATAACCCCTTCCACGGACCTTACCACCCTGACTATCTCGGTCAAAAATGGGTGCCACCTAGCATGGCGGGTGTCAGTGCTGTCTCGATCGCTGCTTTGCCGTTTTCTGGTGTTGGTAGTGTCAATGGGGAAGCGACCTCTAATTCGTCTTCGTCCAATGCCTGTCCGACGACCAGAAATGCTAACAACGGGAGCAATGCCAGTGCTGATTTGAATGCAAATACACACACGAGTGCAACTTGTCGTACTGTCAGCGTGGCAAAGCCACCGAGCAGCGCGGTGTCGTACTCCTCATATGGAGGAGACAGTTTCGCAACGGAGTCAGGCACGACCTGCACTGGTGCCATTCTTCGTCCCCGTGACGAGGCAGCATGGACGTCCCATTTAAGAACCCTGCTCAAAGGGGGGTCAAATCCATAGGGCTTGGCTTCAGCTCGTGCGCTGCGCCCCTTACCAGAGTATGTGCCCCTAATTTCCGAAGACTAGAACAGATGTCCGGTGAAGTCCGGAAGCAGTGAGTTGATTGGTGGGCTGGGGGATACCTATGCGGTGTATAACCCCTTCCCCGGACCTTACCACCCTGACTATCTCGATCAAAAATGGGTGCCACCTAGCATGGCGGGTGTCAGTGCTGGCTCGATCGCTGCTTTGCCGTTTTCTGGTGTCGGTAGTGTCAATGGGGAAGCGACCTCTAATTCGTCTTCGTCCAATGCCTGTCCGACGACCAGAAATGCTAACAACGGGAGCAATGCCAGTGCTGATTTGAATGCAAATACACACACGAGTGCAACTTGTCGTACTGTCAGCGTGGCAAAGCCACCGAGCAGCGCGGTGTCGTACTCCTCATATGGAGGAGACAGTTTCGCAACGGAGTCAGGCACGACCAGCACTGGTGCCATTCTTCGTCCCCGTGACGAGGCAGCATGGACGTCCCATTTAAGAACCCTGCTCAAAGGGGGGTCAAATCCATAGGGCTTGGCTTCAGCTCGTGCGCTGCGCCCCTTACCGGAGTATGTGCCCCTAATTTCCGAAGACTAGAACAGATGTCCGGTGAAGTCCGGAAGCAGTGAGTTGATTGGTGGGCTGGGGGATACCTATGCGGTGTATAACCCCTTCCCCGGACCTTACCACCCTGACTATCTCGGTCAAAAATGAGTGCCACCTAGCATGGCGGGTGTCAGTGCTGGCTCGATCGCTGCTTTGCCGTTTTCTGGTGTTGGTAGTGTCAATGGGGAAGCGACCTCTAATTCTTCTTCATCCAATGCCTGTCCGACGACCAGAAATGCTAACAACGGGAGCAATGCCAGTGCTGATTTGAATGCAAATACACACACGACTGCAACTTGTAGTACTGTCAGCGTGGCAAAGCCACCAAGCAGCGCGGTGTCATACTCCTCATATGGAGGAGACAGTTTTGCAACGGAGTCAGGCATGACCAGCACTGGTGCCATTCTTCATCCCTGTGACAAGACAGCATGGACGTCCCATTTAAGAACCATGCTCAAAGGGGAGTCAAATCCATAGGGCTTGGCTTCAGCTCGTGCGCTGCGCCCCTTACCGGAGTATGTGCCCCTAATTTCCGAAGACTAGAACAGACGTCCGGTGAAGTCCGGAGAACTCTGGAGGCTGAACTAAGGACAAGTCCGGCGGACCTCCGGATGTTGAAGGAGAAACTAGAGTAAGACCACTTCGGACAAAGTCCGGAGTAGAGGCGGGACAGAGATAGACTATCGTAAGGTAGAGCCGTTGGGAGGAAATGGCAACAACGAATGCTGGCACCACTAGAGCAGCGGCGCAGAATGTAGCCCGCAATTTGCGCACCCCCCAATGTTGCCTTAGGCTGTTGGAGCGTTGGAGGGCCGTCCTCCACATTTTTGCTCGCATAACAGAGGAAGCTGCCAAAAATGCGGAGGAAAGTCGGTTGCCCCTTGTTTTGGGAGCACGCATTGACAGTCGATCCTATGCAGAGGGTTACCTTCATATTTATATGGTCATTTCAGAAATACAT